TTTTTGCCGTCTACAACTGCGCCGGGCGCACCAAGCCACCCAACACCCATGCCCATGATCATGGACCATGGGTCACCCATGGGTCACACATTGAGATCGTTTGGGAACACTGTAGAATGGGGAGACCTCAAGTGCCGTTTCCAATTCGGCCGAATGTTGTGGTGCACCTGCACCTGCCGGGTCTTACAAAACGTAGACTCCCGTCCAGCCATCGTATGCGGCTTTCGGCATGGTACATTAGCACGCGCTGACTTTGCGCATCTCTCTTCGTCCGCTGGAAAAAACGCCGTGTGTCCAAAGCAATCGACAGAGACCCCAGATGATGATGTCCTGACCAAAAACACAGCAGGTGCACTGGCGTCTTTTTTGTCGTCGAACGATCTTTAGGGACGCATGTTGTTCGTGGGCATGAAACGGGAACCCTCTCCATCCTTCTTCGTCGTTCAGCTACAATTCCTTCGCGCTCTGGGCACAACGGTGTCAATTGGTGCCAAGGAAAGCCAAGGCATTGTCTGTCGATATGCGCTTTGGTATAGGTGCAGATTGGGCGCAAATCATGAGCAACATCCCTTCACCCTTTTCCTTGGTGGCGACGGACGTTTTCATGCTGAGTTGAGACAGGGCGTCTTGAAGGCGCCACCACTTGGGAAATTGGTAGCTATTGCAGAGAGTTGAAGGTTCGATTTCCCGAAATACTCAATATCACATGAGAGCTTGAACCACACAAAATCCCAACAATAACGCCCCATGGATTCTCTGTTACTTTCCCCACTATTCCCTATCGGTTTCCTCACTGATGATACAATGGACGAGGGTTGCGCACATCAAAGTTCCTCAAGCTATATGGTTGGTGCAGCGTTCTGTGTACCCATTCTTTGACCGAAACCACGAGGAGCCCGATTGCGTTCCTGGGCCATGGGAAGTGGACGCGAACGAGTAAACATCTTGACTGCTCGGGATGCCCAGTTGTTTTCATCGAACTGTCGCGGTGCGTGTGTCCATGAACGGAACATTCCCCCGCGCGCCACGCAATGAAAAGGTGCTTCACGTTGCCATCGAATTTTCTATAATTGTGTATTTTCGGACTCACTCGCGGAACTTCCGGTTACACGGCGGACGCGCAGAGAAGATTGTGAACAAATGCATGAATCGACACGCCGCTAGCTGGTTGGGTTCGGGAACCCTTAAACGCCTTCTTCACTAGCAACCAAGAAGACTCAACGATGGATCCGTGCTCATCCCAGAAATCTCGAAAATAGAAAACTACGCTTTGCTCCTGCCAACAACTGTACTGGGCGATCGCGAGGGCTGGTCGTGTTGACGAACCGTCTTCTTCTGTGATGTCGTTGCCCCCGTCTGCTCAGCCCAACATGCGCAGTAACCGAAATGTTTCCCAATACGCCCGTCTTCCAACGTGTGCCGACAATAAAAAGACATTGGCCAGAAGAAACGGTTTCAGGTACGAGGCTCAAATCCACATCCAGGGATAAACAGCCGCTGCCTCGACGCTTTCATCGTCGCGTTGAGCCAATCTCGCGCGGGAGGGAAGAAACAGTGGTACGCGTCTACTCTGCAGCTGCAGCTGGCGTCACTCGACTACTGCCGGGCGTGCCGAAGGGTGCCCACTCTGCTCGTTCGGGCAACCCGTGAATCACCTGATAGCCTTTGGGGTCCTTTGACGACGGTGAAGCAACGCCTCCTCCTTGATTCCGCACCGAATCCTGGCTCCTGCCGCGTTCCTCCCGTTCGGGCTCTTCATGTCGTGTGGGAACTTCCGGCTAGGATTTTGTCGAAGGGCCTCTGCCTGGACCAGTGGAGCGGGGTGGAGAGGCTACACGTAGGCAGCAGGCTTTGCCTAGGACGCACCATGGGTTCAATCTTGTGGCCACCGGGCTTGAAAAAGCTTGACATTGGTATCGAGTTGCGAGTGCCGGTCCATGCAGTGTCCTGGCCAGGGTTCCTCGAAGAGATGACATTTTCGGGGTTCTTCGACCAACCAATCCTCGGAGCTGCGTGGCCGGCCACTCTGCAACGGCTAACGTTAGGGAAATTCTTTGATAGTCCCATTGCCGGTGTTGTATGGCCGACCTCCTTGCAGCAGCTAACGTTCGGGTTATTTTTCGACCAACCGATCGTCGAAGCGGCGTTGCCAGCATTCCTGCTGGAGCTCGAGTTCGGAGACTGTTTCAACCATCCCATTAATGGCGTTCTGTGGCCGGCCTCCTTGGAGAAGCTAACGTTTGGGAGAGACTTCAACCGACCGATCGACTGGGTTGCACTGCCGACGTCCTTGCAGGAGCTAACGTTGGGGGGCTTTTTTAACGAACCGATCGCCGCGGTTTCAATGCCGGCCTCGCTGAAACGGCTTACGTTCGGTCGTTTTTTCAACCATCCCATTGCTGACGTTCATTGGCCGCCTTTCCTCCAACGCCTTGAATTCGGGTATTTGTTTGACAGAGTCATTACCGCCGTGGCTTGGCCACCCTCCCTGCAAAACCTAGTGTTCGGGTATTACTTTAATCGAACGCTCACCGGAGTGAAGTGGCCGGCCTCCTTGCAACGTTTAGAGTTCGGGGATAGGTTTCACCAGTCGATTGCGTCCGTAATCTGGCCGGCTTCCATGCAAACGCTGGTATTCGGGGAAAGGTTCAACTTACCCATCGCCGGAGTATGCGTATGGCCACCTCGCCTCCTGTATCTAGGGTTCGGGAACACTTTCGACTATCCGTTGTCAGAGGTTCTTTGGCCAGCTTCCCTCGTTAGCGTGCAACATGGACTCTCGGTGTGGTATGATAGGTCTCGGGACAAGGTGTTTGATAGCGTGGTCCCAGCCCCGGCCAACGAACAAGTCGCCAACTGGAGGGAAAGCGACAAGTATGTTAGGGAGTTGAGAGAGTCGAACGAGAGAAGGGAGAGGAAGGACGTACCGCTGCTTGCTTTAGAGGGGATATGCGGTGGTGTGTTGTTATTTTGCCTGCTACAGATCAGTTTGTGGATCGTTTGGGAGTTGTTGCTCCTCTATATTGATGATTGGCAATAGTTTGCGTAGATATCTAATGATGTCAGGTATTTGGCGGGATGAGACCTCCTATTGAGGGCTCACCAGATAGGCAGCCCGACACCAGATCGGTGGCAGAGAAAACGCTGAAATATGCATAGGTGTTGGCAGTGTGGGTAGGACCACCGCGTCGCGACAGGAGGCCTCATCCGACCCAATAGTCACATCAAGTGGTATTTACACATCAAGTATGTGGTATTTTACGACGGACAACATCCCGGCCGCACGGTCTCTTCATTCTCAACTGCAGATGGGCAGCCCCCTAAGCGTCACACAGAACAGAGAGCAGTGTTTCGTTCCGAGTGAATCTGGCGAGAGCCAGCTTACCTTCATGTCCGGTCCTACTGGTGGTCGTGGGATGTGGTGAGGTGGGTTCGACATGGTGCTCCCCCCGCGACCTGGGGTTCTCATCCTGCCTCCCACGGCGGACAAAAAATCCGATCGTGGAACTTGTGGAACTTCCTTCTTCCAACGTAGCAGACGTAGCGTACTCGATGAAACACGCGCATACGATTGTAGAGAGGAGTGGGTTCACTTGCTGCCAGTCGGTCGGGTTTCTGATTCCCCCGCAGCAGCCTTCTTCCCGTTTAGCAACCTCGGCAAGAAGTCAACGGAAGGAGGGGGGCAGTGTGGACACATTTTTGACAGCCGTTTGCTCGTGCCCAGCGAACAAATACAGGTGATGCCCCCAGGCAGCCCCCTAGCAAGTGTCGCTGTCCCATACGCTCTCATTTCTCCTTACCCGCTTCAACCCCTGGAAGCCCGCCCTCTGGATGCAGTGAAACACTTTTGCATGCATACCGGCCTTTGAGAGTGAATATGTCATGTCGACCCTGTATGATGAGTGCGAGTCTCTCTCTCTGGAGTGAACAAGGGCGTTACGACCTGGGGTAGAAAACGAAAATCTGTAGGGACTACTGTAACGACCACATAGTCTAGTGCTCATCGTGCGTTCATGCCGCACATGCTTTCGATCTTTTCACCTGCATAGACTTGACTTTATACAGCAGTTCAGGAACGCCGCGAGTGATGAGACGTTCAGCACCTTTTGCATCATGTTGTGGTTCGGTCGTGATCACGAAACGTGCTCTTCTGTTGGGCTTGAACAACACGGCAGGGGAGGGACATCTCAGGCAGAGATCTTAGCGGCTTGAAAAGTAGAGACAGCGACAGCTGCAAGCCACATCAGCAACAACCACCTCCCGACAACAAAGACAACAACTGCCAGAGCAGGCGGATCGTCGCTCGATTACATGCCCCATCGCAGTCTCCCATTTACGGACCTTGTTCAGGCGACCAACCACTGCGAGCCGCCTGCACTCTTAAGGGAATACTTCTGTAGGATCGTTAGCCGCATCAAACAACATGCCGGTTTGACTTTCGTATTGATCCCGGATTGAATTTCATTCTGTTCTGACGGGATTCTTTCATTCTGCTCTGCACGGGATTCATTCAGGGCTACAAACGAAAGATTACTACTCAATTAGGCTGAGGGACAATTCCGTTCTTGGAAACAACATAGCAGTTCCTTCATATCCCTCCGAAAGGTGATGCCGCTTGGGTGTGGCACGACATAGGCCAATGTTTGACGAGGTTTCGCAGTCGTATGTAACACGCACCGCAGGAGCAAGGTGGGGCACGAAAAAAATATATATAAGACAACAGTCCTCGCTCCTGTGTGACCCTGGGGTTGTAGTTGTCCGAAAAATACACTGAAAAAGTGTAGTACTCTACGTACATTGAAGTGTGTAGTACACGTCTCACCACGAAAAATGGGGGGACTATCGCCATAAAAATAGGACGAGAACTAAACATACACACACACATGTAGTAAGGAACGAGAACCCCCCTGCCCTTTCAAACCCCCGGCCAATGGGGGGCATCATGTCTGGCATGCCGAACGACCAAAGGTACTACCCTTACGTCTCAGGACAATCCGACGCCAGACCGGTGGCGAAGAGAAAGATAGCTTTGGTGTTGATCTTGTTGTTTGGGTGGAACCACCGGGCACAGACAGGAGGCCTCATCGCACCGAATACTCTATTTAGTCAAGTGACGATACAGAGCAGCCCTAAAACTCACGCCGAGCAGCCAGCCGTGTGTCGCTAGGGTCGACATTCACCGAACAAGAACCTCCCGAGACTACCCTGGAGAGCCGATCCGGCTGCCGATAAACGAATTCGTCTGCAGAGTGCTGAAAACGGGCTCTTTGCCAACGAGTTTAACTAGCACTCTAGACAGTGCCACACAGCTCTGAGCAAATAAAAACAGCAGGCACATATCTTGTCGAGGTTTAACCCTCTCAACCTACCCGCATTCATTCGGTTCGAAGAGTTCTGCCTTCTGCCCGGGCTGATCTCGCTTGTCAGAAATTGACGGTGGAAATCGTACGCCAGCTGCCGAACTGCCCGAAACTTCAACCACCCCATTCGCTAGAAAAAATAGCCTATCCCTCTCCAGAACAAGTGGGGAAAATTAAATCGACAAACTCACTCTCGAGTTGGCCCAAACAAAGACAAGAAAGGCTGTTGCGGATTTCGACAAGCAAATCTTGGTTCAAAACAGCGACCTGGTGAATTGCACTCTAAAACCCTCCATCATTGTCCTGTGAGTCGCGTCAGTGAGCTCAAAACCGGCAACAGATGAGCTCGACGATTCGATTGTGTGCTAAATAGATTCCACACCAACAGGCCAAAAAGTACTCGGAACCAATGTGACTCAATTCGGACCACCGGGGAGAAACCATCGGAAAGGCAGCAGGATTGAGAACCAAATACAAACCCTTTGCACGGTTCTCAAGTGCCCGTCATCCCTGTGTGCGATTATCAGCTTCGTCACCAAGAGGCATAAAACCTCTTGCGCCCCTCCTTCATTCGGAGCATGCTTCTGCAGCCTCGACGAAACCCCGAAGGCGACCTCTTCTTGTCCCCGATCCTCCCGGGAGCTGCCCATGCCCTCCTCTCCTGCCTTGGTGAGGCTCTGCTATTATTGGGCCAAGTAGCCCAGGTACTCCTTCGCCCCCTCCCCCTTCCCAGACATGCCTCTTGCACGGCCGTACTTTACGCTGGCCTTCGCTCTGATTGCCTTCAGGATGGCCTCGGCAGATTCCGCTTGCATCATTCCCCCCTTGTACAACACCTGATCGTGCAAATGTCGACGGTCAGGAACTCGCTCAGGGGCACAATGTTCACCCCATGTCGCTCACTTGGTTACCGTATACGACACAAGACAACACCCCCCCTGGGCCATTTTTCAAAGCTCGATTTCTCCGCGACGAAGAGGATGCATAAAAACGCAACGATATGTTTTCGGAGAGCTCTCGACCAGACGGCTTCAACGCCGCCGTTTTCGGCGCCGTGACTCTTTCTGATGTTGATACATCGAGCTTTGAAAATCAGTCCAAGGGGCGTGTTATCTTGTGTCATGTCGAACACGGTAGTGCTCGTTCGCTGACGCCATTTGGAGGGTAGGATGTGAAATTCTCCCGAATATGGAACCTGAATGTGCAAATACTATACACCGAAAGCGTCTGACTACTACGCATGAAATGTACGTCGCGTAATTAAGTACGTCCTTGAAGCGAGTGACTATCTTGCATGTTTTCGCGCAGAAGAAAACAACTTGTCCTTGATTTCAGCGCCCCACACTCTTAGTCCAGCGGTCACCTTTGGGCACCGGTGTTGTTTTTCGTACACAGCGATGGTCCCGATATACCGTACCGTACCGCGGTGTAATGCCAAGCGAAAACAACCGCGGTATATGGGGAAACCGCACTATTGAGTGTTGGGGGTAATATATAGAAGTAGCTTTTAATATGTTACCCAAATCCCATCACAAGCGGTATTTCCGCGGTCTATTGGGACCCGCACAAGTCGGGACCGCGGTATATCAGGACCAACGCAGTACCTCAGACGCCCATATTGTGTGGTAGCCGGCGTCCCTGAGCTGCCAGCAGTCTTCGATCTCATCCATACCCTCATCTGATCTTCTGTCCACGTGTACCACAGACACCACCTGTTAAACGGTTGTCAATGCGGAGCTTGGCTCATGACGATGGCTGTACAAGACAAACATACGGACAGAACTTTGGGTCCAACAACAATAACGCCGCAGTTCAACAGCGAATAGTGTTGCAGGATGCTCGAAGCATCTCCCTCTCTCCTCTCTCCTCTCTCTCGCAAGACTCTGTGCCTGCATGCCGCGGGAAAATGCATGGCACAAAAACAAGGGGTTGACACGATCGTGCAACGGACAAGACACGGTCATCAAGGGGAAACGTGGCATGTACCCTTTCTCGGGAAAGGCTTGCCCGTTGGCCATACGCCAAAATATATGATGATTGTGGAATAGGAGCCGAGGAGGTACGATGAGCCACTGCTGTTGGGGGGATTCATATAGGCGGCGTGACAGGCAGGGTAGATCCCGCCCCTCCCAGCACAACATTGTCCAAGCGCGCAACGAAAATGCAGGGGGATCTACACATCATACCCTGAGCGGAACAAACAAAAGCGCCTCGAGTTATTGTAGCTCTCACCCTATCGGGAATGTACTGCCGCAGTTCCACTGCTTCATCCACCATCTTTCCCACTATGGAGATGATCGAGATGTCCTCCGAGGTCACCGCCTGCTCGATCTCCTCCTGGCTGGTGGCCTGGATCACCGCTTCCATGCCTGACGTCGATGTGGCCAAAACACAACGCTGGGAAGTGAGATACGTGTTGCTGTTGCTACGGTTTTGATTGTTGCCGTTCATTTTGGTTATGGAGTGGTCGCTGTGGTTGTTGTTGTTGTCGATCGCAGACCGTCACGTGCTGATACCGAACGTTCAATTGCTATGGTGTTCCCATCTACTAGGTGCTAGAGCAACCAATGTCCACCGATTTCCAACATACTTCAACACAACTCTCGCCATACTTCACCCACGCACCAGGTGCGGAACAACCGACCAAACCTCGAGCACCTCATCTCATCGAACAAGCCACCTTCAGCTTTGACCCCCACCCCCCCGCGCGCCACCGCGTACTCGCTTTTGACAAGCTTGACGCCCATCAAAAACTCCTCCTATGTCTTCAACATCGCTCCTTCAACCGCTCAAAAGCGACGTGCTTCGTCCGGCTGTTCGCCGGGATTCGACAGTCTGCCATCGTCACTACGTCCTCCACAACAATGCCATTACAACTAGAGCCAGAGCGACAGCTGATCCTCCCCCGCTCCGCCCCCGGGCCTTTACCTAGCTTCTTGGAAAACGCCGCGAGCTCCGCCGCGCGTTCGGGGCCAACGAGAGCGAGCACCACCGTTACCCCCGCCGCCCCTGCTGCCTTGGCGCGAGCAATCTCGAACTCGGAGATGACGAGATCCCTTCGCAATAAAGACCGAGACAACGCAAAGATTGGCCGGTGAGGTTGTCGGTACATCGGATCGTTGTCGGAAAAAGTCGGAAGAGCAAGAATCAGAGGTTTACGGCGGTGGCCAAAGGGCGTAAACCACAATTGAGGTTTGAAAAAGCACACCAATCGAGAAAACAAGACAGCACGATGTGGCCATTCCATCTCAGAGATCGCCTTGTTCGTGCTCAAAAATGCGAAGCCCAGAGGATAACGCGGGTGTGTTCCCAACTCTAATAAGGAAATACACCTAGAGACAATGAGTAGCTCATCAAAGAAAATCGGCCCAGTCAAAGAACATCCACAAGAAAACGCGGCGCAGTGGAGGAGTTTCGGAGTCGCAGCACCGCCCATGCCTAGCAACCTGATGATCACGGGCATTGGGCCCGGGAAGTCTCCCCGGCTGTTCTCTTGCTCCTCCACCACCGTCTTCAAGTCGGCATCCGAGCAACCACCGGTCAGGCTGCGATTTGAACAAACGACGTTTACGATTGAGGGCCATCACTCTCATGACAAGATCAATCATTGCAAGAATAATGGACGACACCGCTTTGGAGTAAGGAGAGAGAATGAGGGCGTGCATGCTGGCACGCGAACAGGGGTGCGGCGGCGTGTGCGGTGTTGGTCATGTTTATTGTGACAGTGTGGCGCATATAATCTAGAGGAGAGGTGGATTCGCGACGGACAGAGACACATGAGGTATTCACATGCGTGTGTCGTCCCATGAATACTGAACACCTATATATTGTAGTTCGAACGACTTTCGGTACAAACGAAGCGTCAGCGGGGTCCCACGCAAGGAAGGCCACGAACAGCAGATGAAAAAGGACCACCACGTATTGTATATATTCGTCACGCAAGCCCCTCAGGCAAGTGCCAGGAGCACACCGCCGTGTGCTCCCGGGGGCCCCGCACTTGGACCACAACCGCATACATACCCTCACACCCATACTTCCCATACGCGTATCCCCCACAGAGGATGGATGCACAGATCGGACTCATATCCAAGTACCACAAACATGCCTAACCTATCATCAACACCACAGACTGCTGAGGGCGGCAGTGCACTAACAAGGCATTCTATTGTCAGCAGTAGAGGACATCATGAAGACGACGCGCGTGCTGGCACGTTCAGGTTTGCCACTGGAGCGGAAATATCGAAGATCGCAGCAGCCTTTGAAACCGGTCCGAAATCTGCGCCGAACTGGTCTAGATTACTGGTAGTTTCGTTTTTTCATGCTCACGGTTCAGTAGCGACGGCGATGCAGGCGGCACCTCCGTTGCGGAGGAGGGGGCACAGCAGCTCCGGCGCCAAGATTCCGTCGATGAACCCTGCGGCAGAGCGACCCGGGCACGAGAGTAACGGGGCATCCACGGGATACCCATACGTGCCCATTCGCACACACACGGAGTGGACGGAGAGAGAGAGAAGGAGCATACACTATTGGTTAGGTGCGACACCCAAGACATTGGGTATTCACTGCTGGTGTCAGGATCTACCGCGAAGAGCTCTAGAGGACCAGCCCAACCAATGGATAACAGCAGTTGTTTCGTGTATTCTTCCAGTATAATTACGTGTGTGACCCTGGATAGTTGTAGCTGTACGAAAAAATACACTTGCAGTACTCTACATACACTTGGAAAGAGTGTAGTACGCGTCTCACCACGAAAAATAATGGGGGGACTGCTGTCGCCACAATGGAATAGGACGAAACACGCACAACAACACACTGGCCCAGGGCACCCACCAGACTTGAGGATCTTTCTGTACTCCGCTACCACCGAGAGCGTCCCCTTGTTCTTCCGAAGCACGTCAGACAGGGGGTACTCCGGCCCGTCCCCTGCTCCTTTCCCCGCCTCAGCCTGGTGGAGGGCGCCCACCGCCAGGATCGGGCCAACGCCGATAACAAAAAAAATAAAGAGCGGATGAGAAAAAGAGGGGACACAAACGAAGACAGCAGTAGGTGCTGTGAGACAAATGGCAGGTCTGTCGGCGTTCTCTGTTCCTCAAAGAAAATGGTCAGGCCTCTTGGAATGATCAGGCCTCTTGGCGTGAAATTGACAGTTCGAAATCTACAGCGCGTTTCCCGACTATCGCGGGCGTCGCTCCAAATCTGTTGTAAAGTTCCTACGTAGTAATTGAGCACCTGTCGCGAAAGCCTCCCATGTGTTCCATTTCGCCCGAATGGTCGCGTCACAGTGCTACCCTAGCCATTAGACCAGGCAATTGTTCAGCGAATTGGAACGATGTCAACCTCTTGCACACAGCCTCGCGTAAACCGCCCTCCGACAATAAAACTCAAAGTGATTTTCCACCCGCGCAGACGCGCTGTTATAGCCGCCATGTTGACCCCTCCATAGACCCCGTCATATTGACCCCTATCGACTTATTTGCCCCCAATCATACACGCGATTGGAGGCACTAGACCCTCTCAAAAAGTCCAATTCAACCGGACCCGTTGTCCCCATCGTGTGCAAGCGTGTCTAGCCAACCTTCCTGGTCGAAATACCAGGCGTTTCCCTGAAACGGTTGAGCGACGGACCTGTTCCAACAGCTGAAACACCGGGCTGTCGGGTTCGGCCGATCGCAGCTCTTCCATGTCCTTCGAAACCTGCGCCTCCTTCGCCTGATGCACAACAACAAAAATACAGCCAGCATCGAGAACAGACAGTTGCAGTAGCGATGTGTCAAGAGCAGAAAAAAGCAAGTCAACAACGTGCCATGTTGAGAAGGCGGATAAAGAATGTGAACACCGACCATGACGTCATACAACGTGAACGATGCAGCTAGGGAGCACGAATCGACACGTGCGACGTATTGCCGGCATGGCGTGGGCAAGTCTATGCACATGGCGGCTAGTTTCTCTACGGCAACGGTTTCCTGGACTCCACCTCGCCATCTCTGGGATAGCTCATTGGGACGGAAAACAGACTTCAACTTTGTATGCACACGTGCCGACACCACTGCTTGCAGCGCACAGGAACGTCACACCTGCACGCGTACCATCGAGCCAACACAGCGCCAGGGCAGCACAACACAGAGATAACCCCAATGAGGCTAGCAAGGACGTTCACACCACGCTTGACCTCTGCCTCCGCACCTTTCTAGCCAATCCCTTGAGCGCCATCATCGGACCGCAGGCAGAGTTGCGGTTGCCAACGGTTCGTGTTGACCCCTTACTATGTACGTCAGTCCTGGGCCCGACGAAAGGCGAGCCCGAGGGAACCACAAATGCGGTAGACGCCCAAAAATTGCTGGCCACAGCTGCACCACCGATCACTGCCGTTGAGTACATCATAGTCACGTAGGTCTTACACGCAACACGCAACGAATGTGCACCCACCAGGCAAGCCAAGGCAAGCTCCAGGGGGGGATCGCGACCCGATAATAGGACGACTCTACCCCCTACCCCCCCCCCACGCGTCCCGCGGGGCAATCCCGCCGCATATCATGTCACTCTCCGGCTCTCCGGGTTGACGTTGTAGACTAATCGAGAGCGACAATATCTGAGACCTTCAGGATACGATTGCATACAGCGGAGGCTCATGTTCCACTCATGATATTGGGGGCCATTGTGCGGCACGCAAAACCTTGCGTGTGTGACAGCTGGTCTGTGAGAACCTGACGTATGTATGCTCCGAAGCTCCGAGCTCCGAATCGAGAATGTTTCCCGAAAAGGTACGAAATTCACCGCTTTTACACCAACAGCAGCAATTTGAAAATTGAACAGCAGTACACCAGATCCCGCGATCCCGCCCGCGATCCCGCCCACGTCTACACCTGTAGAACTATCGCCGGCTAGCGCGGTCGAAGCTAACGTTCTAGATAGTCATAACATCAGCAAGAACATGAACCGTGTTCAGTGTGCCACGGCGCAAGAGAGACCGCACGGAGTCCCTTCGCGGCGGCTGCAAGACACAACACACCGCCGTAAGAGGGGCATCTAAGATCAATAGGACACTCGATAAGCAACGCGTTGACGGCGTCTAACTGGTGTGTGCAGATCATGCAATGGGTCGGGGCCCTCATGAAAACAACGTGGGCAATCGCCTGACAGGCAGTGTATAAACTTCTGTCGAAAGTGTCCCATGGCGACACGTCGAGGGATTGAACACAAAAGTCAGCGTAGCTCAAGTCATCTGCAAGCTCTTGTGCAACAACGCCATCACCCTTGTGGCAACAATATCCCGTGTATCGTGGCACTCCGAAATACGTTCTAATTGCGGGCGATAAGTTGGTCAACTAGAGTACGTTTCGTGCAAGCTCACAACAAGAACGTGCAGGCTAAACGCTCATTGCTGTGCGCGCAGGGTTTCCTGGCAAGCGTCGAGTTCTACACTACTGTAGCTCTTCCCGACCCGTAGGACGACCAAGAAAGAGGTGCATTCAATGGTGTGCTGTATGCAGTATTTTCTTTCTGCAGAGATGTGAGGTGTTCCCGTTCCCACGTACTGTACGTGACCTCGTTCACTGTGATTCGTAACAATAAACCTTGAGATATCACAACCAACCCTTGCCCGCCTACCGGTTGGCGCCCGACGGTTGATCTACATCGTGATCCACATCGTGACATTCAGATGGTCTGGAGGTTGGTGAATGCTACTGTGGACTACTCACGTCGATATTTCAATGCATTGTCCGGCACATATTGAGGTAGTCACCCATGTCATTCCGGTTGGAACGTGGCTTGCACCATATCACAGCTAAGCCGCTACCGGAGTCCGGTTCCATGGTTTTAGAAGGTGTTGATGGTAGAGACGCTTGCTCTCCAAGGATTCCCGCCAAACTGGTTCTTCACCCCGGCCCTGCCATCCCAGCAAAAGAGAATTAACCCGACAAGTTGGTACGTGATGAGTCGAGGTTGATGTCCTTTGGGTCGAATTTTCCGCGATGCTTGTCGCGCGGGTCAGTAGACGCAACGCCAGCGGCCTGCAAAAACACATCTCCTTTCCAAAAACCCGCGATTGTCGGCCGGTTGCTCCCAGACACCTCACTGCCTCTGCTGACATCACCCTTGAGCAGAACCTCGATGTTGTTCCTGTCTCGATAAGCTCCGCACCGCACTCACAGCGCGTCGCTTGGCACCTTGCAGGTTTTGTCTCTATGCTGTCTCACCAGCACTTTCAGCGGTATGAGAAGGCCGCGATGCCTCCATACTTGTGTGCGCGGCGAGCTCCGACTACACTAGTACGGTTTGGGTGCTATCATCAATACACATTGCTGTCGATGCCCCGATAAACTCGTTTGTCAAGTTTCTAGCGGGATTGGAAGAAATTCGACGAGAACATTCATGTTTCAAATAAGTTGTCAACATCATATGCGCCTCCAATCGGGGCTTCCTGTCCTGAATGGAAGACACTATGAGACGTTCTGATATTTTATTGGCTCTGACCCCATGAAATTGCGGTGTTGCGTTGAGCGTTCTTCTTGTTGAGGTAGTGCTGTACGAGCTCCACACAGCGAAGCATGTTCGCCATTTTTTCTCCTTGACCACCTCTCTAAGAATGCTCGTCATCGCTCATTCTTGCCTCTCACGCTCGGCAAAAGCAAGCTTTTTGTGTCCGGTTGTGCTCAACGTACGCTTGATTTCAACAAACATACATTTGTATACCGCCCTGGTAAATCGGCGGTATGGGGCATTCGACGACCCGGCTGTAAAATTGGTGTTTGATCTTGTTGAACAAGCAGGCCGAGAGAAATGGTGAGAAGATATCAGGCATGAAGATGTAGCCCGGAGCGAGGGCTATGCACAAAATTTCCACAAGCTTGCCAGTTGTGGCGGCTGCCAGTGAGTGCGGTCCACTCAGATGCTGTCAAGCACGGGAGCCTTCAACAATGTCTCAAATGTTGCACATTGTAGTTCGGGATTCTACAGTACATGGTTCCTTCAATTCTTCGTGCAGCAAGCTCAGATGCAGCCCCGTCTTTCATCGCCGACCGGGGACCTAAACAACACAAAGATCGCACAAATCTGGCAGACAAGCAACCAGGCAACACCACGTCATCCGTGCGGTTAGTTCACGAAATGCAACATCAGCCAGGTAGAAGGAGCGGACAGGCGCGTGCCCACCGTAACCTTGTGAACTCAATGTCATACGCATAGAAATCTGGAATGTCCCAGTCACGGCAACGTACTTGGCGCGAATCGAGGGAACGGAAACAAAAAACAACCCGACTGGCCCGGAACGGGAACATACGAACAGTAATGGTCACGAGCAATAAGTCTATCTAGCAGCACAGACAGTCGTTTCGTCCTGTGCTAACGGGATACATGATCGAAGATGATGTAAGCAACACGCAAGTCTCGGGCAAAAAAAGGGACAATCGCCGACAACAGGCAAGAGCACAGCCCACAAGGCTACAACGACCAGCGCAACCATCATTGCAACCAAGGCAAGGCAGATACCCCTCTACCTCAGAAAATACCACAGAGAGAAAGGAAGACAGACGGATCTGTCTTCAACACGCACAAACAAGAAAAAAAATGCCTACTACGACGCTTGCCATCGTCCCCGATCTTCAAAGAAGAACAACCCTGACAATATCAGACTGACCTGGCACGTCTGGATATGTGCGGCCTGCCCATCATCACATCATCCGGCAGGGCTCCAGAATCACTCTATCTAAACCCTTTGCACAAGCGACGCGATGTGTTTTCCCTCGCTGTTTCGTCACAATAATGCAGCAACAAAGAGAGCAGCAGGGGCCGCAAGATACGGTACAACCGCCAATCCTATGAGTACTGAATCCATCACACTGCAACGACATTTTTCCCGTAAGGTCAGAGGACAAACGAAGCGTGTTGCAGATACATGTAGACACACAGAAGTAAAAAACACACACAAACACACGCGAAATAGATTCGGCATAAAACACAACATCGAAGAAATGTCGGGGAAAGAGCGCCTTCTCGTCCCACAACGTACGGAGTGGTGTATCAACCAACAACACACGACACCTTAGCTGGCGAATTTCCCGGAGAAACGAACCATGCACACCAAGCAAATAACCGCGGTCTTAGACAAAAAAAGGGTAAACAAAAAATTGCTTTATACTCTTCGATCCTTTTCGTCGAGGAATACAGCAGCTCTACAAGAGATAGGCGAGACCGTCGGAAAACGTTTCCTACGCGCCAATCTTCCATAGAGCGTGCAAACCAGGGAATGGTACAGGAACAACCCCACACCGCACCAAGCCCTTGCTTTTCCTTCATTCACTGCAGCACCTACAGGCCCAGCAGGGACAGAACAGTTCGGTCCCTGCAGCATCCCTTGGAGGAGTAGTGGCAAGAGCAACAATGGCCCTGTTTCCACCAACACGCTGAGTCCGAAATCCACCAACGAAATAATGAGCTACAAGAACAGCTAGACTATATGCTTGGTTTTTGATGGCGCGAAAACCCAAGGAACTCCGCGCGTGACGCACGCTAGCAAGGAAACATCTGGCTGTGCCGTGACAGCCCACTACGGGACGGACATGGTCTGGCCACCGCACCTGCCAAACCACAAGTAAAAGGGGAAACAGAATCCAACAAAATCAATTCTTGCCGCAAGTTAGTCGGCTGATGCAGCATGCGGTGCGTGGTACAACGCGCCGGTGCAGATACCCTTCCCTGCCCCCCCCCCCCCCCCTCGGAGTTGCCGCACGACCGTTTCGAGGCGTCGCCGTCTTACTCGCCGACCGGCAGTTTCCTCGTTCCTCCCCTGCCCTTCCCCCGCCGGGTCCGCTTGAACAAGCCGTGCGATCAAACGTGTCGTCCAGCACATGTACACCCTGAGACTGCACCACAACACCCAATCCTCTCCTCTACAAGAACATGATAAGCCCAAGCGAAAACAACCATAGGTCGACAGTACATCGGTTGGGTGTTTGGTCCACAACATCAAAATGCGGCAGTGGCAAAGAGCTTCCGCCGAACATCATCGTACATACTGTCGACAATTAGGACTAAGGTGAATAGTCTCCACACCACGCCTGGTGAGGGCTAATCCAGTGCAAGGACACAAGCTCTTACGGCACAGCTTGTTGCAGCGGCTTGACGGCTGCTACTGCGCTACAATGTTGTTGCCTTTGCCCCTCACAAAAATTCATCTTCACAAGAAGCATCAAGGCTCGGATGATTCGGCCTCGCTCTACTTCTTCGACTGTCAAATCATGGGGAAGAAAATCAACAACGACAGAGCCGTGCGATCAAACGTGAAGAAGTACAGGGCTCATCGCTCCCGCTCAACACACGACGCCGAACAAAAGAAAACACACTCGCAAAAAAAGAATCGAACATCACCAATCAACACAAACAACAAGATCGCACGGTTCTTCGTGTCCCTGCAAGGCAGGGTGAGGAAAAAAAAAAACGGGGTTGGTACGGCCGTGTGTGCATTCCTACGAAACCACTGTGCGGGGGAGGGGGACATACTCGAGACGCCGGTGGTATCTGTATGCTCCACTCCAACGCAGACACGCACAAGGAATGATCGGAGGGAAAAAACCCGACCGATACCGGCGAAACACGAGGAGGTCCTTTAGATGGCCTTTTTGGGGGTCTTCTTGCGGAAAACCATGGCCGTCGGCTTGTCGGCCGCCTCCAGCCACGGCACTACGGGAATGCCGTCCTTGGTCGTTCCGGTCGCGGCCCCCAGCTGGACGAGCTTGGAGGCGACGTTGCCTCCGGTGCAGCGGTACCAGAGGTCATCGTCGAGGTCAACGCGAGAAACGACCGTGTCGCCGTCGATGGAGCCGTTCAGGACGGCCGCCGGGGTGTAGTTGACGATGTCTGCCCGCGGGAGAATGAAGAGAAGAGGCACGAAAAACAGGAGGCAGAACTGAATGAGTGTGGGTCAACTTCAGATGAAAGTCCAACAATAATTGTGCATCGCGTCAAACAACATTGTTCAACACTACATACAAGTCGTGTACTTCGTCCTTGCCGGGCGATGATTGCTGGATCTGTACCCCCAAGGTTAGGGCCAGCTACACGTTTCTTGGAAGCGTTATTTCATATTCCCGGACCTGCATGCAAGACTTTCAACACAATCCAGAAAAGGGTTGGCTGTGCAACCGAACCGCGTCGAGGTGTTGTCTCACCGTCGGTGTCGAACAACATGACCTGCAGTCGCTCCGTTCGCTTCTTGCGGTCGCGCCTGCGAAGCGAGAGATCGGCAAAGCGAGAGATCGGCGAGTCGAGCGGAGAGGAGTTTCAGACCCTCACCAACATCGCAACAGTTGAGGTGACATCAATTGTCAGGCATACACATTGGAGAACAAGGCTAGCAACACAAACAACAACAAGCACAGCAGTGATGATACACGACGACGACACCATATGGGTTCGCCAAGATAACCCGAAGCGGGTCTACAGTGCTAGCACGTTCTGCCAGCACAACAGAAGGCACGCACTTGGCCTGTTCGTCCAAGAGGACAAAGAGCAGGTCGGGGGCTTCGTCGAGCTCCACGAGCACCAACTGCAAGGTAGCAGCCACATGCACGAAACGAAAACGAGTGGCGGGGGACAAATGCAGTGGCTCGTTCAGAAATCAATTTCGTGACATGTGGGATCACGGTGCACGTACAGTTTCAAACAAAACGCATCGTTGGCGAGGTGCTTCTAGAATTCATCGCTGAGTTATCCTCGCTACAGGATACAGATGACATGTTTTTCACATGTCTGTACGAACATCGCCAAAACAAATGTGCTGCGAGGGTGCATCAACAACGGCGTTTTCCATGCTCATGGCTGTCTCGTAAGCGCATCTACGGTACATGCTCGGAAAATGCCGACCTCCCCTGGTTCAGCGATTGCAACATGAGCCCGGGTACACCCTACACCGAGATCCTTCGCAGGTGGGTTTGTGGATGGAAAGTGAAATAAGGTGTCTTGCCCTTTTGTGCGTACCGCATGCTAGCCTGTACACGTTCAGTATTCGCGCGTTCTGCAGATTGGTTCGGTCCCTAGCCTCGTTGTTAGAAATGCACTTCCTACGCTCAGGGAAGTGGTTTATCATGGCATCGTGTCACTTTGAGCATGCACGAAAAAGAACCGACAAGACTGTAAGGTTTACCCTGCGAGAGGTGTGGTCTCAACGATTCCGGTGCAAGAAGGCAAGTCAGGTTCTTGGTATGCTTATCCCCGCTCATCGTCCAATTCAACCCCTTGTCCGCGAACACTGCATAAAACAAATTGAGTCGCCGGTGGTGCGCGCCAGACGATCTCTGTGTTGGGCAAGTTGGTACCGCGCCACGTTTCATGCAGAGCTGGGGTTTTGGGCAGCTGAGCGTGACATTATACAAGCTGTATGTCACCCCCTGTCCTTATTCAAAAGGCGACACTGCAATAAGCACTCACGTTGTCCTCGTAGTACGCGCGGACCTCCCAGAAGTCGACGAAGGCCATCTGCACGAAAGCAACGGTAGGGAGGTCGATGTCAGGATGGCCACAACCACATCAGCAAGGAACCGACATTGTCCCGGAAAGCGACACCAGGAAAGAAAACTTGTGAACGACGGACGAACAGAACAGATTCTGATCAAACCTACAGCACGAGGGAGAGAATGTACTGTGCACTGCCCTGCGCCACAAAGAGTTCAGACTTGATAATGGCTGGTGTTCGGCCGGTTAACCTTTCCTGCAGCTACGTTACTACAGTCATCCGTTGTGATCCAACCGAAACTCCAGCATCGAGTCTCGTACTCTGTCGACCTGATTGATCCCAGACAATAGTGTCTGGTTTTCTCTGTGTTTCAAAATTTCTATGTATATGAATGGACTGTGTGAGGATTGCACCTTCCTGGCCTTGGCTATCAAATGGCGAGGATACCGCAAGATGGAGTGGGGGCAACCCACCTACTCGTGATAGATTGAGTTGAGGAACTGTCTTTACTGCAGACGTATGAGTGATGTGCCTGTAAATTTCGTGATCGTCGTGGCTGACCATTGAGATTTTCCTGCTCGGCGTGCTGTCCTACTGCTATATGGCGCAGGCGAACTAGAAAGGCTAAGGATAGAAGGCGATCTCTCTGTGAAGCATGCACGAGGTCTTACCGTCTCGAGCGGAAGAACGTTTTCCAAGGCCTGGAGGAATACCTGGAGCACCATGTGGTGCTGGTCGCGTACGAGGGGTACCTGGAACGCCGAGCAACGGGTCGAAAGGTTGTTGCTGAGGTGTCGCTATCCATCTATTGTGTTGCCGGTTCTGGGGAATGAGACACATTCCGGCGGGGCCATATTGCGGTGCTTCTTCCGGTGTTCACGATTGACAACCAAAGCCAAGGTACTGTTGCCTGTTCTCAAACAACGAGACTAAATCTCTTGGTTGTCAAGGAGTGGGACCTACAGTGCCACAATAATGCGTCCTGTCTTTCTCCCGCCTGCCCTGCCCCGCATTTCGCCCAAATATCGAATGAAGGAATGGAGGGATACCACGCCATCGCGGGTTTAATTTCAAATAGATGGTCGAACGATAAAACAAAAGTGCCTGTTATGTGCTGTCGTCCCTAAGAAAAATCGCCATTCGTTCGTGTGACTGCACCGACAAATGAGTCCAACCGTGTTTGAATATTCCGATGTCACCGCATGAGACGCAGGATGGGGTTACCAGCGCTATCACAACCAGGTAGTATTTCGAGTTGAAGCAGAGGTAGAATCGCGCTTCAGGTCCACTTTCCAATTTCTTTGGTACCACAGAAACTTGTGTGACATACAAACCACGTGTGTGCGAAACATCCCCGGGCCACAGAAAAAAAACAATATTATTGGTAGAATGTAGCGCATCCTGGGAAGACAACAGGCAGTACAGATTAAGCTAGTGTAAGGTTCCTCCGAAGCCAACAAGCTGCATGACCACCATCACCAGTCACGCCTTAAACTACCATCGGTAACTAGCCCCGTTTGCGCTTACCGGAGTTCGAAAGATCCGGGAGAGACCAAGAAGCCGACGAACGGAGTTCGTCAGTTGGACGATTCTGACATAGATCCCGGACGGATCCTTGTCGAAAGGTTCTGGGTCCTGTTGAAGGTCGGTCTTGGCGGGGCTGATCTCGTCGTACCAGAGGCCCTGGATTGCACAACGAGGAGAACAGGTGGATCACGCGGAGGAAATTCTCGTTCGCCATTATAAGCGGCAGGCGGCACGTCCCCAACCCCGTTTTCAAAATCCTATGCAAGCCCTCAACGCGAGGACACACGCATCACAGTGAAATACAAGACGGTCGGCGGGATCAAAGTAGGGGAGATAAAGCCAGAGAGGTTTCACCAAACATAATTGGCACTTCGTAAAAAATTCGTCAGACGTTTGCTCTCTACGCAGTCTGGGGTTGTGATCCGAAACCAGCGTGTATCAGATGGCGGCGTAGATGGCGTTGGTCATCACGCGGCGAGGTAAATCGGTAGCTTTATTCTCCAAGCACAGTAGATTGACATGAAAACCTCCCGCTTGTTTTCCACACCAGCAGAAGCACAGCATTGCGATCGGCAATTGCCCCAAGAGGGAATCGCTCGCTGAACAATATTGCGTAAATCTTTCGAGCTGGCATGGAAACATTGGGATACAACGTCAGCATGGCCGCACGTACCCGAGCAATAGCGGCCAGTTGCAGCACGAAGTTGCGCTCGAGCCGCTGGCGAGGCGCTGCCGGTATTTGGAGTTGGTCGGAGGACAGTGGAGTTGCGTTGGCGAAGGAGTGCGCGTGTGCATCAAATCATGCGGGCAGCGAGCGCTTGTCGAGCTTTCATTGTGTCTGCACGCCTGCATGGCAAACATCATGGGTTCCTGAAAACATGGCGGTGTTGGTGACGGTAGCATGAGCAGCGTTCCGCGGGATGTAGTATAGGCAGGTACGTCTATATCTGGGCTTCGACTACAAGGTGTGTTGGGTGTTGGGGCAAAATGGGGGAACACAGCGCCGATGCCAACCTTCGTCATGCATCAGGTCAATGAGCCCTCTACTCAAACGTTCTTGAACTGCTGTGGGGCATGGGCATGTTTGGGAACCACGCCCGAACAACGCCTGTCGCATTTCATCCGGTTGGGATCTACAAAGAAGAAAGGAGTTCCTCAAAACCCTCAACAGGTAGACTATATGGTCGAAACGTCGTGGCTGCTCGGGCGAAAAGAGTTGTCCCATCGGTAACACTACACAATATTCTGTGCCCGGAGCGCTCTACAAACTCCAGTTCTTCAAGCCCTCCGACTTACCGATGAACCATGACTTGATGGTAGCCCACCAGGACTTGTACACGTCCTGGTGCTCGAAGTCCAGCAGCTCATCTCGAAGTCGTGGCACCCCGCATAGGAGGTGGATGACCGCTGACTCGACGCTGGTGAGCCAGTCGCGGTCGGGCGTTGAGACGTGCCTGGTAAAACAGCAAGTCACGCCGCGGGTTCGGGTACATACGTCACGAACTGCATTGTTTCGTTGTTAGGGAGGTTGGGGGAGATTCGCTCCCGGGATGGTCGCTGTGCTGCAGTATCTTCATGGTCATCTTTCTACATCCAACCTTCTTGGGTGGTTGTGTGGAGGCGTCTCCGGCGCTCACAGGCAAAAGTAGCGATAAACGTGGCCGACAGGCGAAAAACACCCGGATACCGTCCGTTTCTCTTGAGCGGCATCTCTCGCATGCATTGCAAGACGGTACACTAAGGTGTACCATAAAGTAGTTAGCGGCCGCACTTAACAACTCGGCAGTGAAGAAATGTATTCAGCCTCGAAAATCTCAAAGTCTAAGAACTACACGTAAGAACTTCAGCCTCGGCCAAAACTAGAGGTCCTTACGTGCGGTCGCTAACTGCACACACACGTCTACGAATTACGCCGGACTAAATAGACACCTGGGAGTTCGGCGGAGACCACTGGCGGGGGCGCCGTGAGATCGAGCGGCTCGTTCCTGGAACCAACCAACGTTCAGCATCCACCGAGAGAGAACGTGCGCGTCGTCGCAGAGGAAATAAATACGGACACCGGCAACGGTGCGGTGGGGGCGTGGATCATGTCAAACAAAACGGCGGCGGGTGGTGCGTGTGCGGCGGGTGTATGTAGCAAAGTGTGGAAAACATGTTTGTTGAGGCAAGCGTGAAATCCGGCCGCCAACATAAAAATGTCACCCACGCCAAGCCCCGGCAACACGGCATACAATTCCGCGGCCTGGCAAGCCGCGGACTAAGTATTCTGAAGGCAGGATTACCCCTAGTTGCGCGAACAATTCCCTCTTTCCGACAACATGCCAAAAATCACCCGCCCGTGTAAGTACACACATACCTGTCGGTCAGCAACGTAGACCACGAGCCCCCAGCAAGCCCGATGCACGAGGAACACGAGGACGATGGCGAGCACGGCCACGAACCCGACTGCGAAGACGACACGCGCAACTGGGTGGATCGCGCGCACAACGACCCCGAACTGTGGGTCCAAGACGAAGCGGAGGCAAGACCACAGACGGGACAGCAGGACAAGGCTCTCTTTCCAGTTCGCCACGGCGTGCGATGCCCAAGCAACCGCTGGGATCGCGGGCAGGAAGCGGAGAAAGAGCCTCAAGTGTTCAACTCTCCCTGGAGCCAGGAGAGCTGTCGTCGCCCTGTAGACGATCGGCCTCGCCGCGACGATGATGGCAGCACCGCCACGCGCCACTCTGGGGACGACCCACCTCGCCGCCGCGATGATGGCAGCATCGACACGCGCCGCCATGTCGAAGACCCACCTCGCCGCCGCGATGATGGCAGCACCGCCACGCGCCGCCTTGTCGACGATCCATCTCGCCGCCGCGATGATGGCAGCACCGCCACGCGCCGCCCTGTCGACGACCCACCTCGTCGCCGCGATGATGGCAGTGCCGTGCTCCCAGGCCAGCCTGAACGGCAGGGCGGCTAGGCCCACAGCCTGGCCGAACAACAGCACATGCAAGATGAGCTGTGCCCACGACACCGACTCGACGTCGTCGTAGTCGTCGTCGCAGTAGTTGTCGTCGCAGAAGCCGTCGACGTCGTCGTAGTCGCAGAAGCCGTCGTAGTCGTTGTAACCGTCGTCGTAGTAGTTGTCGGCGCAGAAGCCGTCGACGTCGTCGTAGTCGCAGAAGCCGTCGTAGTCGTTGTAACCGTCGTCGTAGTCGTAGTCGTACTCGTCGATGTTGTCGTACTCGCTATCGTCGTCGAAGGCATAGACGTCGTCGCAGTAGTCGTAGTCGTCGTAGTCGGCACGGTCGGTAGGGCTGACGACCTCGTCAGGAGAGCAGACCAGGGCGAAGAAGTCGTCGGCTCGTTCGACCTGAGGTGCGACGAGTGGGAGGGAGACCAGGAAGGCGAGAGGCTTAGGAGTCAGCAGGATGAACGACAAAAGAAAAGAGGTGTCCAACTGAAAATGGGGGGGAAGGTCGGAAGCAACGAAGCTGCTGGACTACGACCTCACGATCTCGCAGAAAAATCCTGTTAACTGTCCTCCTCTAGTCGCGTCGAGTATTCTCCTGCCTGCGACCCAACTCTGAGATGGTTGGAAGTTCACCGCATACCAGCGAGTTTCAGGCGAACCGCTGCACGATCGGGGCGTCGCGAACAGAATACTAGTGTACTGGCAATGTGTAAGCCATCCCGCAGCTTTATCACCTGCTTTGGAGGCCCATGCACGTGAGCGATAGCTGAGGTAGCCGAGGAATTTCCCAGCGTTACGACGATCTGGTAGTCTCCCTCGCTCGGAGGAACGTAGGTGACCGTGTAGCTACCGTTGAGGGAATCACTCCTGTAGAGGTACGTGCAAACGTCGCATCAAGCGTCTCTTAGTGCATCAAGCAGAACGCGCTGTGTGCGGCGGAAGTAAAAGTGGCAAGCAGTAAAGTCACAATCAACAGAGTGGAGGTGTGCCGTTCGAGGACACTTTTAGCGTTCGCCGAAGCTGCAGTTCCTGCTCTATTGTTGTTGCTCTGCGTCGGCTTCTTCTTCAACTCCGGTATTCAATACCTCCTTTTTCGTTGTGTTCAAAATAGAGAAACGGAATTTTCGTGGATGGTGAGAGACCTACAAAACAACCACCGAGAAAACGCCCTACCGTGGAACGAACACTTCGTTGGCCATAGTGAGAGGTTCACGGTGTTGGCAAACATATTGAATGGTTTACGGTTGGCTACCTGGCGAAGCGAAGTACGGCTCACGAGCAAATGTTTTGTGCGCCTGTTTGCAAAACTCTCACTTCCCGCTTGCGGCAAGCCGCGTCCCACGCGCTCAAGGTCAATGACGTTCCACGTAACTCCTCGGAAATCTCCTTACCGCCAACAAACGTTTGCTGACGGGAAACGTTGTGCCCGCCGGAAAGTCTTGGGGAACGCTACCGGCAACGCATCAACACACACAGTGCTCCGCGCCACCACAGTTTGAAATCGCCAAGAGAGCGACGCACACACCCCGGATCTCGACCGTCAAATCTTCCAAATCGTCTTTTCACAGAGATAAATATATTAGTTCAAATCGTGTGTTCAGCAGTATCGCGCCGATCAGCCGGCTGCTATGTACGCCTACACCTTCGTGAAACCGGACTCACACGACTTGGGCGTCTGCATCAGAAGAAGGGAGTCCACCGTGCTTAGCGATGCCGTTGGCGGTGACGTGCCACTCGTCAGACCTCGTACGGAACCGCTTGTTCCCAAAGGCGTCACGAGAGGTGATCGTGAACGCGCACTCGTTCAGTCCCTGCCGATTGAGAAAGAGAGAGAGGGGGAGAGACGGAATAATGGCGTGTGACGCGGGACGATACGTTTGTTGCCATGCGGTGAGTTACCGAGGGCGAGAGCAGCGAGGTGTACACACTCTTCCTCGACAAGTGGTTATTTCCTACTAGATAGGGTAAAAAGGTCCGAAAGAACAGCCTACTCAGTCGTACAAAATAACACGCAACAATGTTGACACACATACCTCCGTTCCAATTAAGCACTCATGCAGTCCCCGTCCGGCGATGGACGACTGGGTCGCGGAGACCTCACCGGGCAAGACGAAGACGCCGGCCAGTTGGACGTCGTCGTCGAAGAACTGGTGCGTCCGCACCATGCCCTGCGAACCATATCGGGGAGGAGAGTTGGGCAACACAAGTAGGACGGGCGCGTGTAGGGTAGGTTAGGTTCTGCCACCGACCAACATAGCACGAGTTTATGCCAACAGATTGAGGCGTACGAAGTTTGCTGTAGTGCGGTCAAAAAGCACCGAATCAGACGCGCAATTTCCGCTCCCAACACCAAGTACTGTACGAGCAACCAGTTTGCCTGGTCACCTCTTGTCTACATTGCCCGACAGCTCGTTCTGTGCTCAGCTACAACAAACGCCACTACCTTCGCGATACTGAGAACATCAGACAGTCCCTCCCTCGACATGAACAAACAGTGCAGAAGCATCACACACGGGGTATTCCATCCACCCTTACCGGCGCCCCGAGGTGTCCTGGCTGGCCAACGCGTTCCGTGAAGTCCAAGAGCGCCTTGGATGGCCCGTCTGGGCCAACGAAAGCGCTCTGCACGACGTACCACCCGGCAGCGATAGGCGTGAACGATCCCACGAACCTGGCGTTACCGTTCAGGTCGGGGCCATCGATCTCCATCTCAAGGTCGACCAGAAACGGCTTCGATTCTAGGTCGACGTCGGCGCGGGGGTCGGGGAAGCCCCGGACGCGGATCGCGAGACCTTGACCTGGCGGCAGGTTGCTCGGGTCGATGACGTTGCCGTACTCGTCGCTGGGGGTGGCCGTGACGCGGTGCTGGACTCCAGCAACCCCGGACTGTTCGATTTGAAGGAAGGGCGCATCGGCAGAACACAAAGTTGGCCGTGAGTCTGCGGTTTCGCACTGTAGGGAGGTACGGGATCCCTGCCGGAAGAGGGATGTATCAGCCTTGACGTCGACAATAGTACTCCTACGCATAGCACAAAGTCAGGGTGCGCGTGGCGGACGGGTACGTCCAAGTTAGCCGCTCCGTTTTCTCAAAGGCTGCGTTCGCTCTACATGCCGAAGCCTTAAAATCATGCCCAGTGCTGTGGATGCAAAACACGCTTGGTCCCACCTTTCAAGTCCTGAACCGCCCCCTGAAATAGCAACTATTCTCCTATTCAAATCGATGCGGGCCCATCCCCCTCTGAGAGGCCGTACAGCAACCAACTACATAATCTTGCTGTCTTGCGAGATAAATCCACAAGCGTCTGTTGAGAATGATGGAACACCTGTCGTGAGCTTCCTACGACGTTCACCGAGCACTTTCCGTTGTCCTTTTTCTCACCTCGTCCACCTGGAGCTTCCCCCTGAGGCCTTCGAACGACGGCAGGACGGTGACGTCTCCCATCGATCCCGACGGTGGGATCATGGCGCCGGCGACGAGAACTTCGGCGGAGAAATTCCCGGCGAGCACCGGGGTGTACTCGATCACGTACCTGGGAATCGTTCGGCCGGGAAGAGAGCGAGCGGGACGGTTGCGTGTGAATGTTGGACGTGTGTCGTAAGGCAACCTGTGCAGACGACAGCTCATGGTTGCCGTGTTTCTGAGATATATATTGAGTCCGCTCGTGTCATTTCACGGCTTCCTATCCGGCCGGCAGATGCCTGCTGATAGTGCATGTGGTGTCGACGAAATATGACAACAAAACCCAAGCTGTTGAATGGAAAACCGTTTTGAGAAGACACAAAAAAATATCTGCTGCCGTCACCAACAACGTCGTCTACGTGATTCTCGCATGTATACGGCGACGGGGGGCTATTAGGCTACATTCTCGTGCAACAGAGCATTCTAAAAGTATTCCGATTGCGCCACACGCAAGACACGAACCTCGCCGAGCTCTCATCTAGCAGTCTTACTATTTGCATCAGGCTTGTCCTAGCAGCCCTACACAACGCGACGACTTCTCATAGACCCCAGAACGCAGAGTTCAGCAAAAGCGGCAACCCGCCCAGGTAATGATAAATAAGGTTTGGGAAACAGACCTCAGCAATGCACCAACCTTCGTTGTCGTCTTGACTCACCGGCCTTGCCCGACGTACGAAACGGAGTCGACAGCCTTCGTCACTTGGCGAATGGAGACGTGGGACACGCCGACATATTCCGAAATCTTGAGCTCCGGAGGTGCGCCGTTGGTGCGGGAGAATTCTATCATAACCTGTTGGTAGACGGTAGTTAACACAGGGGGGGGGGCGCAGGGAAAACGCGATATTACTCTCCGAGCAAGAAAAATAAGAGCTCGTAACGACTTATCTACATATCGTTGAAGACGTCGCTCACGCACGATACCTATGTGCACAACATCTCTATGAAAAGCAGGCCATCTATGCGACAATATGTCATGCACGCTGTTGTCAAGTTTTTTCATTGGGGGTCGAGCAAGCTCCTGTCGGTATCACAGATCAATGCCCATGTAAGTTTTGAGCGAATGTCGTCGGGGTTGCGCTCCTTTCAAGCATCTTTACAGCCCAAAATCAAACCATTTCGACTAATAGTCATTCCTAGTGTGCGCCGCACGCACGCACTACTGTATCAATCAGCTCACCTTGTTACCGCGCGGTCCGCACAACGATCGTTGCCCAAAGGCGGAGGTAACCTGCACGCGAACGTGCTTCTGGTGGGCCGAGGCCAACATCTTCTCGAGGTGGTTCCTGATTCAAGGATTTGGCAAAAATACCAGTAGGGCGTATCGCGGAGAGAGCGCAAGAGGAAGGGTCATCCAGGGATACAATTGAAGTTCCTGACACGCTTAAACAGACAGAATGGTCGTTCAGTGAGTCGGTTGGTTGAGAAATTTCCACCGAGCGTCGTATGTAGGAATTCCTCATAGAAAAGTGGTAGCTTGTAAAGCAAGAGTAATCTCTAATGATGTCTTCACAAAGCTGTTCGTATGTGCTCCCAGTCGTACTGGCGAAGGTGAGCTACTTGTCGAAAAACCAAACCACCAGACCTTGGAGTTTGTGATTTTCGTTAGGCGCTTACATTACCGGCCGTGCTCTACTCTGGTGTGTGTCTACCCAGACAACTTTTGCTGCTGAACTGCTGTTGCTGAGCTGTACCCACAAAGACTCCGTGCGTTCGACCAGGGCGCAACCAGGGCGCATTGTTATGGGTGCTCTCAACACAAGATGATGTCACGTGTACATACAAATTTGGTAAAAGCCAAGCACATGGCGAACACGGCCATCTGATGCATTGTATCTGTGACAGACAAAACGAGGTATACGTGTACATACATGTTCTTTCAAGTCGGGAACGGCCGAATACATGGCGAACAGATAGATCCATCTCATGCACTGTATCCGTCACAGGCTACACGAGGTACACCTGTACATACATCGTCCTTCAAGTCGGGAGCAGCCGAATACAGGGCGAACACATCCTATCTGATGGTCTCTCTCGGGCCTGCGGCCACACCTGAGGTCCTGGAGGGTGCCGCGGGCCTCTACGAAGGCATCCCTTCTGAACATGTCGAGCCGAAACCCAAAGTTGCTCGACATCGTCCCGGTCGGTTCGTTGACGGTGCAGGTTAGCTCCTGCTTCTCGTGCATCGCGATCACCGGATCAATGTTGTCGGACGGCGGAGTGTAGGCGTGACCGTTGTTGGCGAACAGCGAGAACCGCAGCGTGGCCAGATCTCGTGAATCGACCTGCGTTTGCGGCGCGCAAAGAAACGAAACGGCGGAAAATTGAGAAAAATATCAAACGAGCCGCAGCTCGATCGATGACATATCGCTTTCGATCGGCACGCAGTCGTAAGGGACAAGACACTCACGCAGAACTCCATTCTGTACGTGCTGTTCCTGCTTCTGGAGTTGCCGTCGTTGTCGATATTGTGTTTCGTGTTGATTTCTTTGCTTGTCTCAAAACGGGTGTACGCTCCATCAGGTCATTGCTCTGTGCTGACCTAGCCGCCCAGGGCAGGGGACAACAGGTCGGGGTAACAGGCTACAATCGCGAAAAGACACACACGCCCAAGAGGAAAGGGAAGGCGGTGGTAGTAAAGACTGTACCTGGTTTACTGCCGGAGTTCCCTTGACGATCCCGGCCACGCGGATGCCTCGAGACGGTCGGTCACGGCCGGAGAGACAGGTCAACTCTCCGCTCGTGGAGCCAAGCAGGGGCTGCATAGAAAAAATCCGCGAATGGCGCCAAGATTGAGGTTGACATCGATGAAGCTATAGCGGGAGTGGACACGCGGGCATGAAACAATTGGCATGTACTCTGTTGTTGAGTTCACCCATGACGATCAGGCAGTGTCTTTCTTTCCGGAGGGATCAAGACCAGTGCAAGTACCCCTCGTACCGGTAGCCCCCGTCTACCTTAGTGCATTCTTGACACTCAGTCGGGCATTGAACAAATCTACTTACCTCTATCTGCACTACCAAGAGCCTGCTGCTGCCAACGACACACCTATCATATGTATGCCCTGCGAACGTATCAGAAGCGTGAGGTAGTCTCGGCGGACGACACTAGTATATAGCTTACCTCGTCTCGGCGGACAACACTATTACAGTATAGTAGATAATATAGCTTACTCTACCTTGTGGTCGCCCTCGAAGGTCGGGCAAGGGTGGGCGCGTTCTGCCTCCCCCCCCGGACCGTTGAAGCACTTGCTGTTTGTGTCGCCGTTGAAAGTGACGAGCCACAGAGGAGACAGCTCGTCTCCGTTCGACCTTGAAACTGTGGCCGTTGGAGTGCGGAGCGCCTTGAGGGCCTCCGCCACCTCGCCTAAGTCCCGAATATAACACAAAGGGGGCAGGCGCTCAGATTATTGCTTGGAGACGAAGAGAGGGAAGCGAGCTCGGGTTTTTTGTCACTGTGATGCATGGCCTTCAACAACAAAAAACACGGGCACAGTCAATGCGGGAGTAGTTCCGTTAATCAGCTTCCATGCTTTCGCGAGAAATTGTCTGCCTATCTAAGCATGACGTCGGCACCTCAAGGATATACATGCTCCGTTCTTGCACACACCACATCGGGAATCACACCGCATTAGGGAGACCGGGAAGTAGCCTTCCTCCCTCGCAACGAATCACGATCGCACGCCGCCGGAAAGAATATGAGAGGCTAGGATTTGCTAGAACTCTCCTGACAACGACGACACGTGTGGTTTTTCCGGGTACAACGACCCCGAAGCCATCTATCTCATCCTCACCAGCGCTCGCTTCGAAGGGGATGGGCAGGGTGCGCTCGCCACCGTAGGCCAGCTCGAATGTTAGCGGGAGATCTCCCACGCACGTGCCGTTCCCGTTTGATCCGTTTCCCTGGCAAGGCAGCGAGCATTCAACACACCGGGACAAGGACAATGAGTACGCCGGGGTTGAGGCTGTGACGCTGCGTAGTAGGATAGGACCTCATCGTCATGCAATGCTATATTGAACACGTCTGTCGTTTCCTTCTCTTCGGGCGAGTCCGTATTATTGTGTTCCGAAATTCCGTTGGACGTCTCAATTTCTCGAAACCCTTGGACTCTGCCTGCTTTCATACGACTTCTTCTTGTGGCCAATGCACCAATCTTACCGCTGTCCACCCCGACAGAGCCTGCACTTCGGGCTGATCGGCGATGACACGGGCCTGCACGACGACCCTCAGGCGCTTCCCTGCAATTCCCCCGTGAAGGCCAGTGCCCGTTGCCGTCGACAAGGAAGCCTTGGTGCGCATGCTGGTTGCTTGAACGACTCGAGACCCGCCATCGATCACCTGGGCGGACGTGGGCATCAGGCACGGGCAAGCATGTCTTATCATTACTTTCACAGGGGCGCTGAAAGTCAGCAAGCGCGCGACACCTCGTGTGGGACATGAATTGGTGAAGTCCGAAGCGATAGTGGTCTAAACAGCTCAATATATTCCGTACAAGTACACCGATTGTGTCCGTTCGGGCGTACAATCGGGCCAATGTGACCTCTACGCAAGCGGTGCGTCGAATGGTGTCCACTGCACACGGAATACATGCCATTGGCCGGTGTTGTTCCGAACACTGCATAGCTTCTAGTTTAGTGCATCTTCGAAAATCCACGTTGTGTACCGTCGTGAACAAGCTAGCACGTGATATGCATGTCTGCCACCCGGGCAACAATTAATGCTCGAGAACTGTCACACCTGTCCCGCAACGTCCGTGATGCGCATGTCGTAGCGCCCGGGGATGCGCAGAGTGTACTGGATGGGGTAGACTCCATTGGAAGACTCATGGTCCACGGAAACGATCGTGCGGCCATCTTCAGCGGGGGCCACGCGCAGAGGGCTCTCGCTCCATTCCTGGTTTGGTTTGGAGCGTTTTTTGTAGGAGGGGGTACGAAATTACACAACAACCCGAGTGGCGAGAATTGATGACCGCCGAGGTCCTCTCATGAGGAAAAATTCTACCACCAGCAGGCTCACATCTGCTCACTTACCTTACAGCCAATGACTACAGCGTTCCGACGCTACACTAACCCCTTCCGTTGTTTATCTGCACTACGAAAGCTCCTATAGCGTCAAACCCTCCCTTGGCTGTCGAAACGTGTCGAAGTAGGGAATTTCGAGATAATACTTGGTGAACCCATGGCTGGGTAAGCTACCCCCGTAAAACCCAAAACATTTGAGAGAACCTGATCATCTCACGGGGGGGGGAGAAACCAGCACAGACCTCGAGGTGAGACAGGAACGTCGCGCGCCACGCCACGCTGCCGGAGCGGACTCTTGAATTTGAAACCGTGACGTTGACAATCTCGTCTCCCAGGATCTCCATCAGAGTCGCCTGGACTTCACTCGCGCTCGCCGAGGTCGACAGCTGCCGGGAGGTGGCTCCACCGAACTCCAGCCGGAACGAGCTGTGGGGTAGCATCAACGGCATTAACGGGGGGTGCCGGGCGAAGGCACTTGGTTTCCCATGGCACAAGGCAACACAGCAGTACGTGGTTGGGTGGTTTTTCATCTTACACGACTTGTGATCCTGTTTTGATGGCTGTTTTTCTTTTCTATTGAGGTGCTGAGAGTTTTGAAGCTAGGACGTGGGTGGTACTCTTGTTCTAGGCTGATGCTATGATCTTTGCTATTAGAACAACCGGGCACCGCAAAGAAGTTCTGCAACAAGACACACTTTAGACAACATGGCCATGATCGGTGTCGAGTGGTGCCGTTGACTGCGGTAACATCTGGCACTTACCCTATCCGCTTGACAGCTTCTGTTGCTTACCCTTCCGTGGCGTTGGCGGCGGTGATCGTCTGCACGGCCGATGTCGTCCGCACTACGTGGCCGTGGTCGTCGGAGAGCGTCACCACGAACACGTCTGACCTGTCGTCGCCGTGCTCTCCCAAGCTCGGTCCCGTCCTGGTTGGAACATGAGAAAGGGGGCAACGTCGAAAGGTCAGCCAAAGTTGAAAATGGCAATCGTGAATTTTCGATGCTCGTGATAGCTTCCTGTGATGAGCTTGCAGGTGCCCCCCACTTAAAAAAGGGTGCACCCTAAAGGTGTCCCGGTCCTGCCGTACATTGATCCGTGGGGTGCAATCGAGATTACGATCGAATACCGCATATATTTGAGCGCTATGGCAAGCGTCTGGCTTGTGCCAAGCGCTGCGGGATGAAAAGGTTTTGGGGTTCTTAGCTTTCGACTAGTATCTACCAATCCGGGGAAACTCCAACAAACACCTAAGATGATGGGATGCAGACTTCATCAACAAACGCGGTCCGAGTACAAATTGCAGCCCTGTCCTACGCTTACGAGAAAAGGTATTCCCACGGCGTCTAATTTTCACACCGAGTCAGTACCCTCTGGTGGTGCCACTAACCTCGTGTTTCCGACGGAATCCTTGGACACAATCGAGAAGTTCTTGGCGGTCCCTGCCGAGTGTACTGTGGGTCGAGTCTTGTCGGGGAAGCCCATCACCGTGCACTTGGTGCCGTCCAGTTCGCCGTGTACGACGGTGAGCACCGGGTCCTCGAACACGCAGGCGGGGTACGCTGCCGCGCCAGTCGGGACGACGCTGGCGTTGCAGTGGCTGACCCTCTCGCCGCCGATGCGCGCCTGCAACGTGTACGTCCTGACGAACCAACGACGCGTCGGGGCGGGGGGGCGGGGCGGTTGTTGCTACTGTTGTCGAATGCTCAAGCAACAGGTCTGCGGATCCAACCCACGTGGGGTCACGCGCGACGCGCACATATATTCAGACACAAACACAAAAAAAAATCTACACGCGAAGCAAGACCGGTGAATTCAACCCATAAGGCGTGACGCGCACCCACTCGTGATCAGACAAAAATGATTTTTTTTTCTTGCACGCGAAGCACGACGTTCTCACCCGTGGAGCTCGGCGTTGTAGGACACGTCGTAGGTGCCATCCTCGTTGTCGATGACGGTGCCGACGTAGCCCTCGTGGCGCTGGCTCTCTTCCCATGCCGCGGGTTCGACGGGCACAAGGAATGTTGTCAGGTTGTCTCCGCCTTCACGACGGTCGAAGTGGTTCTTGTCGCGTGCCTGTCCAATGGCGGCGCGCGAAGAGGACGGAAAGCAGACGTGGCGTTTTATTGGTGGCAAGCACACGACAATTGGCCCACAAGATTTCTTTTGGCGGCTGCAGATTGGTTCGACTTTCCTCACCAGTGCCTAAAGCGAGAAGTGGGCTCCGGAGCACGAGAATCACTCTCTGTCATATGTACCACTCTCTTTGCCGAGTTATTTCCATCAACCAAGCCTGTTGCATCTTGGGACTGGCAGCGTCGTTCTCATGTACGGTGCGACGTTCAACCCTGGTGCTGGTGCTGCGAGACATGTGACAATGATTCGAGTACCTGGACACGGAACGACTGGCTGCTGCCAGCCACCGCCTGGAAGACCCCGTTCAGCGAGAAGGGTGCGATGCCCTCCGCGACCGAGTGGGCTCCGACGCTACGGTCGGCGACCACCTCCATCTGGTCAGAAAACGTTCGGGGATGAAGCAGAAGAAGACGTCAATAAAAAGGACTACACACGTCCGTGCCGCAAACAGAAAATATGCTGTACAGCCCTTTTCCCAACGTCCTTCTGCTTCATCGGGTCAGATGGACGTGGTCTCTGATCACACCGTCGAGGCGCAGCTGTGTGGACGGGCGCAATACCCTTGTCCAATGTTTCCGTTTCGAGACAACGGTGTTATTCCTGCCGACACTGACTGGTTTCCAACGGTGCGGTCGGGGACCGCCTCCATCTGGCCCGATGACTACACACGTCCGTGCGACGGTCAGGAGCGCTACTTGCGTAAATACTTAATGCGATACGCTGTTGCTGCCGCTGCCGCTATCAGCACTTTCATTTGGTCGTGGCTGTTGCCGTTATCGCTATTGTGGTGATTGTTCGTGTTGTTGTTGTCGCTACTGATACTGGCTTCTGGCAGCAGATGGGTAGCTCATGGTGAACGGTCAGGCAAGAGAGTGAGTGCTAGAAAGACTAAATACCGCATCTGGAACAAGCGTAGTAAATTCCACAAAAACTACCGACCAAATACCGCAAGGATTATCCCAGCAGGAACTTCTCCGCGAACGGGGTGCGACATTGGGGCGGCTTGGGTGGAAATAGCACGTGGCGCTTACATCCACCAACAAAAAATCACAAAAGAAACGAAACAGGCAGCGCAAAGAAAAAAAATATGTTTGTTTCACACAGTGTAGATGGTGGCTGAATCGGACAAAACCAATGCAACCCTTTACAACAGTTTCCGAACCGTACAGTTCGAGTCTTGGCTTCCACAAGAAACAAAGTCTTGAGAATTGAGTGCTGCGTTTGGTGCGGAAGGGCTGGTTGCCTTCTGAGTGTGGCATGCGACGGCATTACCTGAAACGGAGAACACGAAGTCCCGTGGATGTCGCACACGTGCTCCCCCGCAGAGTCCTTGACGGACCACTCGTACGTCCCGGGCTGAGGGGCGTGGGAAACAAACAGCAAAGAGTTTCGTTAGCTGAATATCGAGCTGTATTGCTTCGCCAAATCACTGGTGGGTGAACTCTTGGTTTCCTTGTTGTACCCCGCCCGATCATTTTGCTGCTGTTGTACCGGGTGGAGATGGGATGGAATGTTCCGTTTACGAAACCGTATTCAACTGTTGGTACGGTGAGGACCCCGCCCCTGCTCCGTAGGTTCAATGCCATCCTTCTTAGGTAACAACTACTCTACACTCTTGTCACTCACTTGGATGGTGAAGTATTCCACCAGGAACTGCCCTTTGCCGAGATCGACCGGCGTCGCGACAAAGACCCGGCGGAGAGAGCGGTTGTGCGTCGAGCCCAACATTCGGAGGTCAACCTGCCGCGGTTCGTTCAAAACACAAGAAAGATACACGTGAAAAAACATGTGGTATACCGTACGAATCCCACGCCACCTTACGCTTGGCAGCGTGCAACACAGCACAACGGTGATGACTATTGCTGTGCAGGCGGCGTAGTTGCCGTTCTACTTTTTGTACACACCAAACTGTCTAGCCGCCAAAGCAGGTGACCCTTCCCATTCTTTTTCTTACCGTTCGTCTTGAGAAACGTGTCCATCATTCTAGTCGACTGCCTCCTGTTTTCCCCCCAGATTAGCGGAAATAGTCAGCAACTGCAGGATATCCGCCATCGAGAGAGGCAATCCCACTCTGGTTCTACTTAGGCAATAACGCTCTGTTCTTCCTCCAAATATGTTCTTGGTGCACGCAGTCACTGACCTCGATGCTAGCCTTCTTCCATGGCCACCAACTGCTTCCTGAGGAGTTGCCCCCGGAAGAGTCCTGCAGATGGTTGTCCCCACAGACACAGGATGAACGAGAGTTTTATTCTAGACAAAATAACACTCGTGACAACCGAAGACGACAAGAAGAAAAAACACCAGAAACAACGGCACAGGCTACACCATAAGGAACAACACCAGCAACACAGGCACAGGCTACACTATACGGAATGGAACACTGCGCTGCCCTCTGTGCATCCTCCCCATCTTGCGTCAGCAGGTCTTACCGTTCAAGGGGGCGTCTCCTACTCAGGCCCAGCTAGAATTCAGTCGAGCTCTCTTGGGGTGGTTCTTGTCGGCGATGTATGGTCGCACTACACCGCACGAGCCACATGGGGTCGACTTGCAAGGTGAAGTTGAACCGTATGCCGCACAACGTGTGCGTCAAAATTCACCACCCACAGAGAGCTCGACCCCCGTGCTTTCTGGCCAGGTGCAGCACACAATGTAACTTGCCATGTGCTGTAGAGTTGTACCAGACGCGAACACACCGGGTGGGACAAACCACCCCCAGAAAGCACAACGCTCGTGCAGCCTAGTCATCCGTACTCACCTTGACCTGCACGGTGAACTGCGACGGCACGTCGCTCACCGCGCGCGACAAGTTCCCAGAGAGCTCGACGCGGGTGCACTCTTGCGGGGACGGAGTGGGAGACGAGAAGACCTGCGAATGCAACATGGGCAAGATGCGCAGGGGGCAAGGTGGCGTGTTCTTCGCCATATCGCACGTGAGGGTGTCGCCTAAATATTACCCATATAGGATCGTTATCGTCACACAGGGGGGGGGTCGCGTCCTTAGAATATTATCTTCGATCATTCCCGAACAAGTTAAAACCACGATATAGTTCGGGATTTTTGAAGTCCAGCATCCTCTCTCGTGAGGCAAGTCACCATCGAAAACCAATAGTAGCCTCAGGAGTGAGCGCGGCAAGAGAAACGTCATGTATGTCGGTCTACACTACATGTAGTACAGACGAACACGTTGGGTCGATCGGTTCGAAAAAAAACTTCTACGGCAGTACATACGCAGTGTATCTATGCATATGTACTGTATGTAGACAATGTGTTAACGGGACAAGGGTGGCGTGATTCTCGAGACGGAGATAGATTATTGACGTTCGATAGTTGGGGGTGGAGTCGGGAGAGGTAGCCTTACGCCTACAGCCAGATACCTGCAGTCTTCTTATTGATAGATTAACGTATTTTATCAGAGTTGAGAGCGACTTGTTGTCGGGTACATGAGACATAAGACTACAGTACATGGATAGACTATTGTCCTTATTGAAACACTCGCCTGCTTCATAGTGACAAACGCAACGTAGTCTAGAAATTGACCGGCACGATGGGAAGGGGCATTCGTTATTCTTCCTAAGGGCCAGTGCTATACTTGCGCAACCTGCAACAAACCGACCTGGGGCACGCGAAGGATTGGCCTGAAGAACTTGCCGACCTTCTTCCTCCAGTGGGCGGATGGAGACTCGGTCCCTTGCCACGAGGCGATGTCGTCCTCGTCGCCTGAAAATCACAGCGAAAGACCACGACGTGAATAAGGCTCATGGGTTGACGGAGGAGGAGGGGGGCAGCTTACGCGCCATGAATGACCCCCCTCTAGACTACGTACTGCTGTGCATCAGTCAAATCAGTCCCATGTACTCGTTGAAGCTGGTTGAAGTGCACACAGACGAAGTGAGCACTCTTTGGCGACTTACCGGAACCATAAGACTAGTCACATTGTTACGATGTACAGCATATCCACTGGTGTGCTACAAGTCAGCGCTACAAGTCAGCGCTGACTTGTAGCATACATAGTGGATATGCATCTTAACGTACAACCGGGGTCCTTCAGCCTGTTAGAGCTGTTGGACCTCGGTAAACCCCAGGGTTGTAATCCCTGTAACCAGCGCTGCCCCCATGCGGTTCATCGACTTACAGGGCGGGAATATGTGTCTTCACTTGGACGACTGAAATGTATACCGTCTTTCAGGCCTATCCCAGACTTTCCGGAAAACAGGCGTCACAAAAGTGGTCCCAGAGGGATTCGAACCCCGGTTGACATCCATGGCACGAAGGCAATCTTCATCTTGATCCAACGTCCGCCCCACATTTCCTACACCGTGAGCTATATACGATGGTATTCATTGCAACAGCTTTCCTGATACCCTACCCTATGCAGCAGGTACTGCCCAGGCAGAACACATGCCGCGAGTTTTTTTTTTTCGGGTGCTGCTGTCATTGGCCGACGTCCACAGTGCTGTCGCATACATGTAGTCTATGTCTGATGAAGATGCGGCGGGCGGGCGCCTCTGTCCTCTGTCTCTCTGTCCTTCAGAGGTCAAGGTGCCACCACATTTGATGCTTGCCCTACAAAGTCAAGCTGCTTTTGAGCGCGGTCGGGCATAGATGAAGTGTTTGCTGCGGCCTACCATATCTCTACAGCAGTACATACACGTAGTCTCGATGTATGTGGCGTTGATGTGCACATTTGTGCTGGTTTAGCAGCCCACTCAACACACGTAGACAGCAGCAGCGGTTGCACACACCACACGCAAAGAGCAAGGCGCACGAACCGTGCCCCTCTCAAAGTTTCCACAGAGATCAAAGCAATCTGATGCACCATTGTGTGTGTGGATTGGCATCAGGGCGAGCCTCTACTGGACTGCGGTAGTCTTGTACATTGTACATACCTCGTCTACATGTTCAACAAGCGATCCCGCAACGGAAGTTGGGGACGAGGTGTGTGGTTTTACCATTCTCGCGGACGTCGACATCGCATGGACACCCGCCACGTGACAAATCCTTGCCCGACAAGGATCTTACTATTCGCCACTGCAGCATTTCTTTCACACGCAATACGTCGTTCTGTGCTGCACGTGATGGGCTGCTGTTACTGCTGTGGGAAAGATTACGATTTCCAGTCCTTCGTTTTACCCGACAGATCTTTCTCGTGGATCGCAAGTCCACACACGCGTACAGTTTGTTTGCGTGATTCTGCGAATCTGCAGTCTACGGCCAACATGAGAAGGCGCGGAGGTCACGTAGAAGCTTGTGCGTATTCGGTGATAATACTGTGGAGGTGCGCAACCCGATGTTTTGAAAAGGCTGCATGGATGGGAAAAAAGTATGCGCGCAGGTCAAATCCGGTTTTTACCCGTTTCTTTTTTCTCAGGGAAGCAGGTCGTTCTCGATAACAATGTAGACCGCCAGTACCTCGGTAGAGCGGCAGATGGATGTATATGTGGTGTGCGTTCACAGGAAGCCTACAGCAGCTCGGTCGCCTCATCTTCACTTACCTCCTGCGAGCTGCGCGAAGGATGGGGTGGGAAACCTGACGCCGTTGTTGTCGACCAAGACGTCGATCTGGAGTCAGGCGCAACAGAGCAGACGTACGCACGAAAACAGCGGCGAGATGCAGGGAGTAAATTAGTCAGATGCTTCCGATGTTGCTGTAGCCTGTGTACTCTCGAACTGCCACTGCAGCGGTAGACCCGATCTATTGTTAGAAAGAAGGTTGGCCACTGAATGTGTCGATTGCGGAGACCAATAATCTACACCTTGACCCGTATCCCTACTTCGAATGGACTTACCGCGGGCGTGGAGTGTCCTCCTACGGAGCTGACTCCTGCCATGGCGACGTCGACGTGGATCACGATCATTGCGATGAACGAGATGAACAGTGTGTTCATCATGCTGCTTAGGCGGGCCATGTCGCCTCTCCTCATGGGTGAGGCGACCGGCCGGAATTGACACGGGATCTTCAAACGAACGTGCTGGATGCAGCGTTGCGAGGAAAAGATATTGTGTCTAGCCTTGGGCAGACGAAGTGGAATGAGACCTCAGGGCAGCGGCGACATCAGCCGGAGAGGAAAAAATACTGTATGAAAACATTCTCAAGACGTGTCACACAGACAGGGAAGAGCCGGTAAGAACAAATAAATCCGTTGCACACATTTTTTTCTTATATTCGTCACAATCTACAGTAGTACACCAAAAACATCAATCAAGGTGAATAAAACAAGAAATAATGTGACAGTCCCACACCCATCCGTTGCGCACTTCTCTATATTTTTTGTTTTTCGTGACAAGACAAACAGTGTTGAAATAGAATAACAAATATGACAGCAGCCCCACACCCATCCGTTGCGCACTCTCTCTTTGTATTTTTTTCGTGATAAGAATCAGTAAAGGTCGATGATTTAATAGCGGTGCCTGGGAAAAAAAAGAAAAGTAAGAAAGTCCAGGCCTTTCCCACGCTGTATATTTCGACGACCACGACGTCCATTCACAAGTGGGTTGCTTCTGTAGATGCGGAGTGAGCAGGAGATGACCGAGATCACTCTACGATACTGACATACTCTACTGACCAAGCGCCGGTGAAAGCCCAATACTCTACCAACGGGTTTATTAGCTAACAGAAAAGACATGAAAAGCCTTCACGGAGTCGCACACCACTCACGAACGAAGAAATACTGTACTTGAAGTATGTATTCGAGAAGTGAGTGGTACTCCTTGTTGTCGAAGGCCGACTATGTAGTGGGCGGACTTTACTCCAGGGGGCAATAGGCCTGATATGGAATCACCCCTCACTAAAAAGGCCGATACCGGCCACCATACTTTTCAGATTGTTTCAGATGTCCTCAACACGGCCGGTGGCCGCACTACAGTACTACGTAAGACTTCTTGAGTGAGGTGTCGCGTGAAAACGTGATAGACCGTAAGGGTACGACTGGGCGGGGATTAACGCAACGAATGCGACGGCTGGATGGAGTGTTGCAGCGGGGGCGTCATTCCCATACACAGCTAGCGCCCGCACTTAAGAAGTTTATGGTTTAGAAATTGAGCCCCGAGAACTCGAAATCTAAGAACTCCCTTTATTGAGCACGATCTGAGCCTGGTTAAGAACCCTTATTACACCAAAACTCATGTGAAACGAGCTCTAACTTGCTGCTGTGGTTCATTCTGCAAATACATCTGATGAAAGGGTATTTCTACCAATAAAATCAGCAGCATTGATTGGAACTCGGTGCGCTCCTCCCATAGACAACACGAAACCTCATTTGTTTTCGTCATGCATGCCAGAGTTTTCATCAGGAAGCAGAAAACTCGTGGCTGCCTACCTTGATCTAAAGAGGGTACACGCGGGTGCACACGCTTTTTGCAGTCAAACGGAGAAGAAACATTGAGTAGGAAGGTCCCATCCAGACAATAAAAATAATGAAGCCGAAAGATCTCGCGCTCGGCACACGATGCCGATCAAAACAAAATAATCTCAGCAATCAAGGCAAAAGATGAAAAAAGGTCGCCTGAATCAACCCTTGTACCTGTACTACTGTATACACAGTGACGCCGGGGCCGGTGTAATCGCGGGCGTGGGTGGTTCGTTGGTCCCTCCACCGTCGGCACAAAAACCACAAGACAATAAATAAATGACGTCAAACAATAACGTCATTCTCATCTTCTGGAGCAATGGGAAATGCGACGGGCGGAGGTCACGATACAAAGTACGCGAATCATTGTAGAGGCAGACGTGGGACTCGTACATATTCCTGCCACCTCCGTCATTTTCAGCCCGGCACATGTCTCTCAACACTCTCTCTGTGCCGTCTCTGTCTTGTTCTCCTCGGCTGCAGTCATCAGTCGTGTCCTCAACCTGGGGTTCGGAGCTTCCCCTTCCACCCCCCCTCGGTGATGATGTTTCAATAGTCTTCGCTAGGAAATGAAGCTTGGTTTCAGCGTGCCTAGGACTGTAGGGTTACATAGTAGGGTAGGGATCTTTTTGGGCCTCTTTCGGCCGCGTCTCTCTTCTTTCTGTCCGGTGTTCCCGGCCGTATAGTCTGCTGGCCTCCTTCTCCTCCGCCTTGGTTGCAGCATGCCAGTCGACCATGAACCTCTCCGTCCACTGTATGTAGCACCTCCGTCCACCAAGGCACCCCTCTCCTCTAACCTCGCTGCGAGAGCCCAATAAGCATGAGAGGTACCCCACACGTTATCTGTCGTCGTCGGTGGATTCGGTGTGTTTCGGATTCGGTTGGTGGGTATTGTACTGCTGTGAAGTCAAATTTTAAAATTTCAAATATTGTGTGCACACCGACCCCCATCCCCATCCCTCCCACAATCCATAAAGCCTGTCTACTCTCTGTTGGATTCCTCGCAGAAAAAAGTAAGACGGGAGAATTACCCAAACAAGAGGTGCTTAATTAAGTGACGCGTTCTGGGACACGTGTTGCCAGTGCAGTGTGTCGGTCATCGTTGCGTTGCTGGTTGTTCGCGGCTCCGTGGAATGCGGCTGGCGTGGTATGTAGGTTTGTTCAAGTTGGTACATTCTGGCGTCCCCCGCAGCAAGCGCCGCAGAACTGCAGAACTGGGACCGCGTTGCACTGCACACGTTGGTCATCAGCAGGCTCCGCAGCACCCCTTCTCTACTATCGACCCTCGAAGGAGCATTCCCACGGAATACTTCCAAAGCAGGTGCGATGCAACCAAGCAGGGGGCACGGGGACCCAGTACCAGGTAGCTCCGTGAGGTAATTTTGTCAAATTCTATTTTCAAACGGTTGGTTGATCCCGGCAGGCAGGCATGGCATGTGGGCTATCTGGACCGCGTGCGGTCAAGAAGTGCTTGCTAGTGGAGACCACTGCTGTAGTGTCCTTTTGGACGCTGCCCTTGGTTCGCCTCCCGGCTGTTGCTGCAGCAGCAGCAGCAATAGCAACAGCTTCGTTGGGCAGCAGCTGCCAGGGCACCCACTCAACTACTTGCTCTTCTTAGACCTCGGCCCGAATGGGCGGGAGATCACAGCGGTCGTCACTCGTCGCTGTTGTTGTTGGTTCCACCTGTGGCAGCATGATGCTGTTACGTACAGCAGCAGTGTCCCTTGCTGCCTGTGCGCGTGGTGTTTGGTAGCGCTTTGTTCATATTGGGGTCTGACAACAGTATTCTGCCGTCCCCGGTCACATGCACACTCGCGCTGAGAGACGATCCACCACCACACCGAGGACAGCGGCGTACTCTAATTTCAAGTCTTTTGACTCCGCTACTCCAGCTGATGTGCGCCTCCTTTCAATACTGCTGTACCTGCCATTAGCATCGTTGACGAACCTGCAAAATAATCTGGGGGCTAATTTTGTACCTTAAATTGTCTGGGTCTTGCAGTGACAAAGATGAAATTTTGTCTTCAAGCAGCAGATGCTGTCGTCTAATGTTCCTATGCTACGGCTGCTAGACCAGGATTGGGGAGGGGCGAAAGCCGGGGCAACATTCCAAGAAATGCAACCTGTGTATAGTCTGTAGATACAGCAGTAGATTAACGATTTTTGTGAAAGAAGAGGCCATCGATGTGTTCGGTTTTACGGTGTTGAGACACACTCAAGATACCCCCGGTTCTCTTGGGAAGCCAGGTATCCACGAGCTCAGTCTACCTGTTGGTAGGGGCAAGAATGTGCACAAGCCATCTATATGTTCTCGGCGCGCCGTTCTACTGAGACTGGTCAAGATGTAGACCAGAGATGCGATCTTGGGATCTCCGGTTTTTTGTTTTTCAGAAAACATGGGTACATTCACAAGGAAGACTACCCGTTCAGAGGAATGTTGAATTCTTTACAACGTGAAGTGGTACGTATTGGTGCAGCGGGTGGAGGTGTAGAGGTGTAGAAATACGACCCTCGCAGTTCGGCGAGGGGTAGCATGGCGGCGCCTTCACCATGCGCTGGAACACCCATCATTTTGCCCGCCCGCCCGTCCGCCCGCAAGAAAACAAGATGCGACGATGGCCGCATTCTAACAATGCAAATACAATCGACTTTTCGCGTGGCGGTCGCGTGTCGCGGGCCGCGTTGCTTCCAGGAAAGCCTTCAGGCGGTCCGGCAGCGCAAACAGAGACAGAGAGAACCACATTCGCGCGATAGAAAAGTTTATGAAGAAATTGAACAGGAAGGGGGTACGCAGACCGTATTCCCTAACCCTAACCCTAACCCAACTTCCCCGATTGTATTCTTTATCCAACATGTTTGCTGAATACAAAAAAAACTGCAAAGGCTACTTACTGCAGAGAGAGCGCACGGCAGCGATACCATTGGAGTCCAGCACCCCTATTGGAACCCTCGGCGCACACCATGTCGACTTCGATCGGGATGATGGACCCGGCCTACTTCGTGGGTGAGTCACCAATTAACGCGCCCTGTTTGTCTTTGTTGTTGGCATCAACCGCGCTAGCAGGCCGAAAGACGTGAGGCGCAGTGCAGTTGAAAGAAAACTGCTGGCCACGATCTTGGACCTCGTGGGGGAGGTCATGGGGGAGGCTGTGCTACTCTCCGGAATAAAGACAGATAATGTGTGTGTGCTTATTGTTAGCATCGACCGCGCTAACCGGCTGAAGGAGCGTCAGTCTCAGTGCGGCTGAAAACAAAAAATGCTTCTAAAGGCCATGATCTGGGTGCGTGTGTGTTTTTTCATTAGAAGTATGAAGGGATGCTTACGGTTCCACTGCCACTGAGTGCGAGCGGCTTTGAGTGCTGCGCGGATCCCGGCATCAATCATGTTTGCAACGCGTTCTATCCATGTGGTCCCCTCGGCGTTGGTGGAGGGCGGGGGGGGGGGGCAAGTGGGCAAAGCAAGAAACGTAGCACGATCATCTGC